GGCCATGTCACGCTCCGGCACCAAATTATGAAATTAAGACCCAATCACCCGTAGAGCTCGAGCGTTACCTGGACAGCCCCCATTTCCGATTCCTTGACTTTTTCAAGACTTTTTTTGCTTTTCCCTGACTCATAAACTTCTGTATTATTAACCCTCTGGCTTTTCCTGACCCTCGAACAATACCTATACCTCCACTCGGATTTTTTCTTTTCATTACGTTGATTCACAACTTGATCCACGACTTTGATTTCACAACCCTGATTTCAGTTGCACGCTGCTCGCACGCAATGTATCCTCCTTTTATTTTTTTTACAAATTCCAAGAATTTAAGTATCTGACTTCTCCCGGTCGCCGTCGCAATTCCCCGGCCCTCCAGGTTTTCTAGACCGCTGCGCTGGAAACGCTGATAGTAGACCCTTACCTACTAAGTATCGACGGTGTAAGTATCCGCATAACCAAGTATCTCGGTTTGCAACATGGCAGATCTCTCGTCATACTTCATTTTTCAAAATGGAAAACTACTCAATGGCTATTCCTGAAAACTGTCGTGATTTTTCTTCCCTGTACGAAGAAAATTCTACGAAAACTTCAAGGAATGATGTTGATTTGTTCTCCTTTAAAAAAATAAAATAAGATCGGAGATTTTCAAACACCGCAAACGAGATACGTGGTTGGTGGACTTACACCGTCGATATGACATCTACATGATACAATCGCCAAAGTACGAAACCACGCACAGGCCCGGACTTAGGGCGTGTGCAGGGCGTGCGGCGCACATGGGCGCCAGCCTTTGGGGGGCGCCACGAAAGAAGAAGAGAGGGAAAAAAGGGGGGGAAAAGGAAAAGGAAAAAAAGGGAAGAAAGGACAAGGAGAAAAAAGGAAAAGGAAACAAGGTTGGGCAGTAAAAGCAAGGAAGAACGGGGGAAATGGAAGGAAAAAGGAGGCAAGAAAAGTGAAAAGGGAGTCCGCGAGAAAGGGGGGGGGGCATAAAAACCATAGACAAAATATAAAGAGAATTGCCGTCTAAAGGTAAATTTTCGGGACAAAAACTCCACCTGGTCCACAGACGGTCAGGCGCCCCTTGACCCTAAATTTGCGGCTGTACAGAAATACAAGAGTAAGCATGCAGGCATGTAGTAAGGGGGCGCCATAAATCCATCGAACAGGAGCCGACATAGCATTTTAGGCCACCTCCGCCATCTTGGATTTGAGAATTTTTAAACATAGTAAAAATTCGAGTTTCCGGTCGAAAAATACCCTCAGACACCGAGTTTCAAAAAAATCCATCGAACAGGAGCCGACATAGCATTTTAGGCCACGTCCGCCATCTTGGATTTGAGAATTTTCAAAAATCGACTAAAAATTCGAGTTTCCCGTCGAAAAGTATCCCTGATCCCGCGGTTCACAAAGCTCTAACGAACAGAAACGGAGGCCAGAACCGGGGCTCATTTTAGGCCACATCCAACATTTTGGAGTTGAAAATTTTAAAAAGTTGACTAAAAATTCGAGTTTTCCGTTGAAAAATACCGTATGATACCGCGTTTCGCAAGACTCGAACAAACAGGAACCGAGATAGCATTTTAGCCCACGTCCGCCATCTTGAATTTGAGAATTTTAAAAAATGGACTAAAAATTCGAGTTTCCTGTCGAAAAATACCTCCTGACACCGAATTTCAGAAAAATCCATCGAACAGGGGCCGAGATAGCATTTTAAGCCATTTCGGATTTTCGAATTTTGAATTTTTTGAATTTTGACAGATTTTGATTTAAAACGCGTGATCCCCAAAATCGAAGCTCAGATTCGGATTCCTCGTAAAAAATCGATGCGATTTCATGTATCATACCCTGACACCGAATTTCAGGAAAATCCATCGAACAGGAGCCGAGATGGCATTTTAAGCCACGTCAGTCATTTCAGATTTTCGAATTGGAAAATTTGACTTAAAACGCGTGATACCCAAAATCGAAGTTCAGATTCGGATTCCTCGTAAAAAATTGATACAATTTCATGTATCATACCCGAGCATAGCGTGAAGGAAAGAGACGTAACGTAGAACATACTGATTCGAGCATATGAATCCAACGTGGCAACATGGGTAGTGCTCAGTGGGTCAGCGGAGGAGGAAGAATAAGAATTTATCGTGAGAAATTCCTCGGGACGAAACCGAATGCTAAGCGCCGGCGCCTCCCCGTTCGGTTGCATCTCGGGCGACCGGCGGCGCGGCGCGGCCCCGTTTGAACAACGCCGCCGCGGCGGCGTAGTTCAAACGGGCAGTATGACAGAATCTATACGCGTCGTTAAACCTTTTTCCTTCACGCTATTTTAACATTTGATACATGAAATCTCATCAATTTTTCACGAGGAATCCGAATCTGAGCTTAGATTTTGGATATTACGCGTTTTAATCTATTTAAAATCGTAAGAGAATTTACAGAATTGTCCTTGAAAAATGATCACACATTAGTGTATTTTTACGTCATTAAACCTCTTTCCTTCACGCTATTCTAACATATTATGCATAAAACCTCGTCAATTTTTCACGAGGAATCCGAATCTGAGCTTAGATTTTGGATATTACGCGTTTTAATCTATTTAAAATCGTAGGAGAAATTACGGAATTGTCCTTGAAAATTGTTCACACATTAGTGATTTTTTACCCCGTTTTTCTTCTACGTTCACGTAATGAAATTAGATCAACTGTTGACTCATCGACTAGTCTAGCCTAACCCCCCAGAATCGGTCTAAAAGGCGAACGATTTTATCAGATAAGATGTGCGGTCCTAGTTTCCGGGCAATTGCGATTTGATGGAAGCTGCGATGAAGAGAAACGGAAGATATGCGAAACTCGGGCGGATATTAAGTGAGAAACCAGGTAGGGGAAATGCCTTCTTCCCGAAAAGTTAGTGCTCGGGCCAACTTACATGGTCACTGGAGCATTGTATACCTAGCAGGTTGTGGGAAACTATTTTTTTGCAGCAACAACCAATTGGATCGCATTTTGCAAAAAGGAACTAAGAGCATTTCAATGTTGCTAGGATTGTGCAACTTAGGTACATTCTTTGCAAAAAGTAAACTTTGCGACGGTAATTTTCGGCTTGAATTCATAGTTTATTGGGAGTAGAGGTGAAACTAGTTTAGATGATCGTTTATGTTTGCAAGGTTAGCGACATTGGAATGCTCTTGGCCACGCCACGCATCTCTGTTTGCGACGTTGCAGATTTCCTGTCGGTACTTTATTTTTTCTTTGGAAAACCTTTCTTTGTAAGCTCTTGAAAACTCTTGATTTTTCCTATTGCGCAGCGGTAGGAATACTTTTACCGTAAACATTTCAAACTGAAGTTAGCTTGTTTCTTGTCGAAACAATAAAATTAAAGCGGAAATTTTGAAACACCGCAGTGGAGATACGTGACTTTGCACTTCGGCCACCGATATCTGATACTGATATTGTGGCTACTAATAGGGTCATCTGTAATTC